AGCCAGAAATGCTTTTTATAGAAATTATATATGCTTATTATAGTGAACTGTAAAAATAAATCGATAATCCAAAATACTAATACATGATATAATTTGATTATATCTTGATTAAATGACCTCAACTATCTCTGGTCACCCTGATTCAGTTTTTGTGAAATGTTTTGGATGAAAAATAGTTTTCTATTAACTTACTGAGTTGACAAAAAGACAAATGCACACAATATTTATCAGGCAACATTAAGGTGATAATTATCTTAAAATTTGATTCAACTAATTGACCTTTTGTTTACTTGACTCTTAAATTAATACAAGTTCATCTGCTGATTAAAATAAATGTGCTGGGCAGCACCTGTGGCTCAATGAGTAGGGAGCTGGCTCCATATACCAAGGGTGGTAGGTTCAAACCTGGCCCCAGCCACACTGCAACAAAAAAATAACTGCGTATTATGGCGGGTGCCTATAGTCCCAGCTACTGGAGAGGCTGAGGCAAGAGAGGCACCTAAGCCCAAGAGCTGGAGGTTGCTCTGATCTGTGTGATGCCACAGCACTCTACTGAGGGTGACAAAGTGAGATTCTGTCTCTAAAAAGATAAAAAAATAAATAAAATAAATGTGCTACCTTTGAGAGTGTTTGACTTAAACTAATTTTACTGTTTCCTATGGGATAATGCTTAATGTTAATTTTATGTTGATTTTTTTTAAATGAGCAGTCTTCCCAGGTTTAACTGGGGGTCCAATTGGAGAACACTCAAAAATCAAGACTGACTCATGTGCATAAAAGCAATTAAAGATAAATCACACAGTATGCAGTAGACTTCAAAAAGTTGAATACTATTTATCCTTGTTCCCATCATACTAACTCTTTTTGTTTGGCCATCTATTTTCACATATTACTAATCCTAATAATGAAGAGTTTACATTTCTACACTATCAATAAACTTATCTTCAGTAGGAAATGCATATAATCCTGATTGGTCTTAACCTGCACTTAATTTTTTTTTTTTTGGAGACAGGAGCCTTAAGCTGTTCCCCTGGGTAGAGTGCCGTGGCATCACAGCTTACAGCAACCTCCAAATCCTAGGCTCAAGCAAGTTTCCTGCCTCAGCCTCCTGAGTAGCTGGGACCACAGGCACCCACCACAATGCCCGGCTATTTTTTT